AAACCACTAGGCCCTGGTTATGGCTCACTGCTCAATTTTCTCACAACAAATCTGTCCATAGAAGCTTGTTTTCCCTTCTGCACAAGCTGTCTCTGTAGTAAGGCATCACATTGTCATTGAAAAGATTAAGGCAACGGCCTACTACAGCTTTCTCTGGGTGAGTCTTTTCAATGAAAGTTTGCATCTCTTCCCACAGTTCAACAACCCGTGTACCATTTTCATACTTCCGAATGATCTCTTGTTTCTCCTCTATTGTCATCCTCACATGAGCTTTCTTGCCTTGATCCTTACCACTGGCTTTCTTGAAACCCATGGTGAGATATATAATAACTTTTATGGTCAAATGACCAAAAATCCAACAAAACACTGAAAATCTGGGTGAAGAATTGACGTGGGATAGTCACTGGGCGCAAGACACTGGTAAACTGAGGGGTGAGGGGCGACGATAGCTGTACCACCACGCACTAGTTCAGCCTGTACGCGTATCAACAAACTCGTGTTCCAAGGTAACCCTCGCCTTCCGAGGCACATTTTCCGAGCAAATCATACTCGTATTCCGAAAAACTCGTATTCAGGGACACTCGTATTCCGAGGTACCACTGTATTAAACTTTGGCATCAGTCAATGTGAATTTAGTTCTAGGCCTACCGGGGACCACAAGTCAGAACCTGGGCCCCTCACAGAGGCACTAGGAGCAATGGCCTATAGAGATGCGCATGTTGTTATGGAGCATTCTATGTCTGCCATCGACTGGGTCAGGCACCCAGAAAGGTAAGCATCCCAAAACAAGTCCCTATTCTGGTTGAAACTACTGTAACCCTGCGATTATCCGGGATTCAAACATGTGGAAAACGCCCTTATACGGCCAAAATCGTGATCGGATAAAGTTATCACAATATCCGACCAAAATGGCCACAGGAACCGGATAAAAGCTGGTTTGGCTGGATAAAAATTCGGCCATACCGTATTTATCCCGTCTGTGGCTCTAGACGCATGGTGGAGGGGATGGGGTGGGTGGGTGGGTGGGTGGTGTTGGGACGGTGGGAGGGGTGCGTCGGGAGGGACCACCTGGGTAAAGGAATTACCATTAATTTTAGAACAATTAATCATAGCCAAAAACAAATGAAATAAGTACTAGTAATTATGTAATAACAAATAAATAAGTTTCTTAAAAGCAATGTGCACAGCTGAAGTTTCCTTAAAAAATATTGTGAGCTTTTTTTCCTCCTGGCGGCCTACGTAACGTGCTATAGCTGCCCCACCCCAAGTGGACCTGTCCAACACTGGTCAACCCATGTGCGTCCGTCCCTCATGTTATACACAGTGCTGCACCATTAGTGAAATATTTTTTTAAATAACTTTTTTATTTTCATAGTAACTTTAAACATTTTTGGCCAAGACTATGTCTGGTAGCAGCATCAATCGTTCTGGAGGTGTTAAGAGGAAGAAGGTTGTGCTAGCAATTAAAGACAAGTTACGTGTTGTTCAACCAGTGAGGCGTCACAGGCAGCCAAATGCCTTCAACAAGTGAGGCGCCACAGGCAAGCCAAGCGCTTTCAGCAAGTGAGGCGCTACAGGCAAGCAAGCGGGGCATCACAGGCAAGCCAAGTGCCTTCAACAAGTGAGGCTTCACAGGCAAACCAAGCGCTTTCAACAAGCGAGGCGCAAGCAAGCGCCTTTAACAAGTGAGGCGTCACAGGCAAGCCAAGCGCCTTCAACAAGTGAGGTAATGCAAGCGCTTCAACAAGTGAGGCGCATGCAAGCGCCTTCAACAAGTGAGGCCTCACAGGCAACTCAAATGCCTTCAACCAGTGGGGCTTCAGCAGCTGGCAGTCAAAACTAACTTTGCTTAATGATCTGTACTGTAATTTTAAGTGTTAATTTTAGTGTTGTGTTAGTATAGGTTACGTAAATTGTTAAGAATTCTTAACTTCAAGATGTGTGGTATGTGGAAAGGCAATTCAAATTATGTTGTTTGTAGTATAAAAATAGTTGGAAATGGTCACTTTTGGACTCGTAGGTGAAAAAGTACCATTATCTGAAAAATGTGATAATCCAGCTGGGGGTTTCTTCCCATATAGTCTGGATGATCGAGTGGAGACAGTACTACTGAAATTCAAACAAGTGGACAGAACTCCTCAATTAAATATGAGCAAACGAGCATGACGTCATCACGTGCTGCGCCGCCGTCTGCGCAGCTTCCCCCTCCCTGGGAAGGGGAGGGGGAGCTCCCTGACAGGGAGCCGGTCGGCCGAGCGGACAGCACGCAGGACTTGTGATCTTGTGGTCCTGGGTTCGATCCTGTGGTCCGGGGTTCGATCCCAGGTGCCGGCGTGAAACAATGGGCAGTCTCTCTTTCACCCTATGTGCTCCTGTTACCTAGCAGTAAAATAGGTACCTGGGTGTTAGTTAGCTGTCACAGGCTGCTTCCTGGGGTGGAGGCCTGGGAAATCATCTCAAGATAACCTCAAGACCCCTTGGGCCAGTTACCCACATGTCAGTTCTTTGGCTGATGTGAATGGCAAAGGTCGTGCGACTCTGGCTTTCTGTTCTCTGCTCTGTGCCTTGTGGTGTAGTATGAATTCTTCTCATGTGGTGCACGAGCCAGGAGTACTCTCACAAGCACTTGGGCTGCATGCACCTAGGGTCACCTTCCTCTGGTGCTTTGTAAGTACTGCCCTTGGTGCTTGGGGCCTCTTTCCACAAGTCACCTTGGGGTCTACCTCTGCTTGGTCTTTTGCTGATTGGTGATTGACCACCCTTAGTGTGCTGGGGTGTTTTCTGCACCCTTGTTTGCCTTTGAGAAGGGGTAGTTTGCACTAGTACGGGCACAGGGTACTGCACAGCTAGCTGTCACCTCTCATAGTGCCCAGCTCTGTTCCGCCTGGGTACGTTGTCCTCTTGCAAAGTTTTTCTTTTGTTTTTGTTTCTCTGCCTGGAGGGGGTGGGGGGGGGGGGCTGCCCTTGTGTTAGGTTGTTTCCATTGTCTTGGTGGTACCTCCACTAGGTCCCCGTGAGGGGACTTGTCCTGGGGGGGGGGGTTGTGCAGCTTTAGTAGCTCTCTTGGTAGTCTTGGGCACCGATTAGCAGTCCCCTGCCTGAGCTTCCCTTAGCAATACCAGTCTAAGGGCCCTAGGAAACCCCACGGGGGCGCATGGATCCAATGGATGCGACCCCTGGGCCCCCTCTCGCTTTGTACGACTTTGAGGGTTTCTCTGTCCCCTTGTCTCAGGGTGATTCTCACCGTTTTTCCCTCCATCATACTGCCTGTTGGGTTGGTGACACCTTCAACCCAGAGTCCTGTAAGTTTTGTTGCTTGCTAGTGACTCAGTTCACCCAGTCCACTGATGATTCTCTTTGGGTGCAGGCAACTCGGGCGTTGCATGCTAGGTTTAGCTTGCTGCAACGCTCTAGGTTGGTTGCTGTTCCAGAAGCCTCGAGGCCGCCCCATTTTGGTTATATGGACCCGGACTTGGGGGTGGTTGTCGCTTTGACTCTGGTTCAGTCCACGCCCCCTCGTCCTTTCCCTGCTATGGTTCATTCTCATGCTCCTCCCATTCCCCCCTGCATCTGGCTCCAAAGCATCTGAGGGCTTCGGGGTCAGAGCAGGGTTTAGCTGGTTTTAAGACTCCATGGCATCCCTCCCTCTCTCCAGTCGGCGGTGTTCTTCGCGTATTTTGACATCCAGCCTAAGAACTGGTAGTTGGATCACCGGGGAGGGGGGGATGGAAGGGGTTATGCAGACAGTGGCACATCAACATGATGACTTCATGCTAGTTTGCTAATTTTCGTTTGGCGAGTTCTACCAGGGAGCCCTGGTCCCTGGTAGGTCTGAACTCCTTAGCTAATGTCCCGGTCTAATATAACATACATTAGCCCGATAAGCTCCAGGGAGCCTCTGGGGCTCACCCAGAAAATGGCGTTTCATTACATTCAACGCAGGTTTTTTGGCTTTTTTGATGTCCAGCCTCAGAACTGGGGTTGAGTACCCAGCATGGGGTCTGGGGCTCCCCCTTCCCCCTCCTAGGGAGGGGGGAGCTGCGTGGACAGGCAGTACAGTGGCGGGTGTGACGTCATGCTTGTTTGCTTGTTTTCAGATTGGGGAGTTCTACTTAGCAGTTCGGTTTTCAGTAGCAATGTTGCACAAGTTGGGGGCTATTTGGGGATGCCTCCCTTTCTGGGTGCCTAACCCTGGCAGATGGCAGACATAGAATTCTTTCAATCACTTGGGGGTTTCTATAGGCCATTGCTCTTCATGCCTCTCTAAAGGGGCTAGGTTCTGGCTCATGGTACCTGGTAGGTTTAGAACTCCATTTGAATTGACTGATGCCACGGTCTAATGCATACATATCAGTCCGGTATAGCTCCGGGAAGCCTCCGGGACTATTTTTCAAGCAAAACTAGTTCACAATAAGTTAGTTAAAATTGCTTTCCAAATTTAGACCAAATAACAAATAAAAGTATTATGTATTGAAGTTCAGAGGAAAACAAGTGAGTTATTTTTGGGTGCAAAATCAAAACCATCAAGCTCCCAGTATTATGAGTTACAGTAGTCAAAAGTTTTATTTTACACGGAGTACATTTTGCATAGTTTGGACTATATTGTATCATATAATTGATCTTTAGATCAGTAGAGTTTTGGCGACCTAAAAACAGCGTTTAATCAAGTTTGGAAGTACAGTAATATTATTAAATTGAAATACTGCAGTGTGAGGTGCCAGAAGATTAAAAGTGCAAACACATAGACAATGAGAGAGTACTAAAGTATGAGGAACTAAAATTTAGGCCAAATACTGAAACAAATTTTCTTTACATTTCTCCAAATTATTAAATGGAATCTCAACTGAGTGCTGATGCATATTTTATTGGGATAGACTATCTGGTGTACTAACCTAATCTACGTATATAATCTTTCATTGCATTTATTTAATAATTTCTAAAATAATATTTTTCTCTCAATTATCCTAGCAGATGATGATTGATAATGTTATCCTTCACAGGTAGGAGATGACCTTCGCCAGGACATGTTAGTGATCCAGATGATTCGTCTGATGGACAAGCTGTGGTTGAAAGAGGGAATTGACCTTAAAGTTGTCACATTTAGTGTTGTTCCCACAGGAGATAAAATTGGTAAAATAATTATTTAATTACCTTCTTTTCATACAGTACATTATTTTACTAAGTTGATTATAATTGCTATTTTGTTATGAGTTACATTAAGATAAATTGTTTGTTTGTAAAGTGATTCACTTCCTCAGAATAGACAATGAAGTCTCCAACTGCTTATTTATTTGCTCATAGTCCATGTCCTTTATGCTTATTCAGTGACCAATTTTTAGCTTAGACTTTAGTATTCCTGAAGCATGCATGTCAATGAGGGTCATTATACTAAACTACAGCTTGACGTTTAGATCTGGAACCTGCACCTTTCCAAGAAGCAGAAATTAAAAGCAGATTCTTATATCTATGTGTGGGACATGTAAGAAATTTACAGTGGAACCTCCATTTACGAATTTAATCCATTCCCAGAGATGGATGACAAATTTTCTCATAAGAAATAATGTAAATTGAATTAATCCGTTCCATACTCTCAAAAATATTAACTTCAAAATACATTTCATACATAATACACACACACACACACGTATTCTGTACTATTGTATGTACAAGTTATAGCTTACCTTTATTGATGACTTGTTGGCAGATGGCAGGTGAGGAGGAGCGGGGGGGGGGGGGGGGGGTTGGGAGGATAGGTGTTACTGTTTGGAAGGGAAGTCCCCTTCCATTCCAAACTTCCCTTCTTGATGACTTCTGTACCACAAGAAAGCTGCCTCTCTCCTACTCTATTCAACATGTATACAGCTTATCTACGCCAACTCCAACATGAAGAATACATCTCATCTGCTGACGATGTCACCCAAATAATTTGCCAACCAAGACCATCAAAGTTGCTACTAGCCAACAAGACCAAGGCATCAATTGAATTCATAAACAACTTTGAGAAGGAATGGAAAATTAGCACAAATAAACAAAAGTTCTAAATAATACACATTGCAAAAACAAACCCAGACCTCCCATTATCCATGACAACTGCCCAATCCAATATGCGAATGTAGGCAGAATATTGGGACTCATGATCGATAGAACAGGGATAAAAATTCACGTGAGGGGCTGATTAAACAAAGCCAAAGCAGCCTAAGGAATACTGAGGAGATTCCGAAATCTCAGTACAAACATAGATACACTTATATAAGGCTCTAGTCCGGCTGCATCTAGAATAACCCTCAGTACCACTGCATACCTTAAAGAAAATTAACATACATAAACTACAAGCAGTGCAAAATAAGGCACTAAAGAGAGCAGCAAAACACCATTCACCATATGATCAGACAATCCAGGAGCTCCATGAACTCCTGAACATACAGCCACTAAACAACAACAAAACACACACACACACACACACACACACACACACACACACACACACACACACACGCACGCACGCACGCACGCACGCACGCACGCACGCTGCAGAAGAGATGAAAATCATAGAGAAAATAGTAGGTTTAGGAGAAGGCACAAAGGAAAATGTCAGTGATTTTAGAAGAATAGGAAAATATGAGAAAGACAAGAACCGCCCCTTAAGGGTGACGTTTAATGGAGTGAAAAACATGATGGAAGTGCTAAAAAATGCCAGGAAATTGCAGTGATGAGGTTGGCAAACTTTGGTCAATAAGACAAGACCTCTCCAAGGAAGACAGAGAAAAGCTGAAAATGAACCTAATTGAGGCAAAACGTCTAAATGGAGACAGAAATTCTTTTTTCTACAAAGTGACAGGGACTGGAAAGCTTGTGAAATGGTACATAAAAACAAAGCAACAAGATTAGTAGTGGAAGGGGAGTAAAGAGCAAAGGAAAAGGGAACATGTTCCTGAAAATTGTATATACCAACATAGATGGAGTGAGGTCAAAAACTTTGGAGTTGCAAGAAATAATCCAGCTTCGGGTCCCAGATATTGTCACATTATCAGAGACGAAACTTGAAGGAAATATAATAAATGAAGTCATATTCCCAAGAGGCTATTCAGTTTGGAGACGTGACAGGAAAACTAGGAAGGGAGGAGGAGTGGCGGCTGTACTGGTGAAAAAACACCTGAAGGTAAGAGAGTTAATATTTGAAAACCCTCAAGATATTGACATAATGGCATTGCAGATCTGGAATCAGGATGATAAGCTGATAATTTTAAATGCCTACAGCCCACCAGCAAGCAACACATGGACAAAGGAAGAACTGGATGACAAACGAGAGGGCCTCATAATGGTCATGAGAGATATTATTGTACAAGCAGATGAAGATAAATCACGACTGTTGATACTGGGGGACTTCAACTTTAAAGCAATAGACTGGGAGGCCTATGAAGCAAGAACGTTGGACTTTTGGACATGCAGATTTGTGGACCTCATTCTGGAGACATTCTTGTATCAACACATAAAGCAGGCCACAAGAATGAGGGAAGGAGATATACCGTCAGTACTGGATCTAGTATTCACCAGGAAAGAAGAAGAGATATTTGACATCCAGTACCTTCCTCCCTTGGGAAAGAGTGATCACGTCCTGTTAGACATTGATTATGCTTTAAGGTATCATCTAGAAGAAAATGGGGACATTGAAACAGTTGATAAACTCGATTTAAGGAGAGGTCACTATGGGGAAGTTTGAAATTTTTTTAATGAGTGTAATTGGACAGAATTGTTGCTAGGCAGGGAAGTAAATGAAATGTATGCCAAATTTTTAAAAATATACGTGGAAGGCACACAAACATTCATACCAAAACAGAGAGGCAGGGCCAGAAAACAGGATTGGTTCGACAGAAATTGTGAGAGGGCCAGAGACCAAAAGACACAAAAATGGAATCAGTATAGGAAGAGGCCAAACCCCCAAACATACCAGCGATACAAAGATGCGAGAAACAACTATACCGCAGTAAGGAGAGAGGCAGAATTTTTTTTTTAAAAAGGGATAGCGGATAAATGTAAAACAGAACCGGGCCTATTCTACAAATTCATAAACAACAAATTGCAGGTAAAGGATAATATCCAGAGGTTGAGAATGGGAAACAGATTCACGGAAAATGAAAAGGAAGTGTGTGAAACATTAAATGTCAATTATAGACCTGTATCATTGACAAGTGTAATAGTGAAAGTATTGGAAAAACTAATCAAAACTAAATGGGTAGAACACCTGGAGAGAAATAATATAATATCAGACAGACAGTATGGTTTTCGATCTGGAAGATCCTGTGTATCGAATTTACTCAGTTTCTATGATCGAGCCACAGAGATTTTACAGGAAAGAGATGGTTGGGTTGACTGCATCTATCTGGACCTAAAAAAGGCTTTCGACAGAGTTCCACATAAGAGGTTGTTCTGGAAACTGGAAAATATTGGAGGGGTGACAGGTAAGCTTCTAACATGGATGAAAAATTTTCTGACTGATAGAAAAATGAGGGCAGTAATCAGAGGCAATGTATCGGACTGGAGAAATGTCACAAGTGGAGTACCACAGGGTTCAGTTCTTGCACCAGTGATGTTTATTGTCTACATAAATGATCTACCAGTTGGTATACAGAATTATATGAACATGTTTGCTGATGATGCTAAGATAATAGGAAGGATAAGAAACTTAAATGATTGTCATGCCCTTCAAGAAGACCTAGACAAAATAAGTATATGGAGCACCACTTGGCAAATGGAATTTAATGTGCATAAATGCCATGTTATGGAATGTGGAATAGGAGAACATAGACTCCACACAACCTATAAATTATGTGGAAAATCTTTAAAGAATTCTGATAAAGAAAGAGATCTAGGGTTGGTTCTAGATAGAAAACTATCACCTGAGAACCACATAAAGAACGTTGTGCGAGGAGCCTATGCCACGCTTTCTAACTTCAGAATTACTTTTAAATACATGGATGGCGAAATACTAAAGAAATTGTTCATGACTTTTGTTAGGCCAAAGCTAGAATATGCAGCAGTTGTGTGGTGCCCACCATCTTAAGAAGCACATCAACAAACTGGAAAAGGTGCAAAGACATGCTACTAAGTGGCTCCCAGAACTGAAGGGCAAGAGCTACGAGGAGAGGTTAAGAAGCATTAAATATGCCAAAACTAGAAGACAGAAGAAAAAGCTACGAGGTGATATGATCACTACGTGACAAAATAGTAACAGGAATTGATAAAATCGACAGGGAAGATTTCCTGAGACCTGGAACTTCAAGAACAAGAGGTCATAGATTTAAACTAGCTAAACACAGATGCCGAAGAAATATAAGAAAATTCACTTTCGCAAACAGAGTGGTAGACGGTTGGAACAAGTTAGGTGAGAAGGTGGTGGAGGCCAAGACCGTCAGTAGTTTCAAAGCGTTATATGACAAAGAGTGCTGGGAAGACGGGACACCAAGAGCGTAGCTCTCATCCTGTAACTACACTTAGGTAATTACACACACACACACACACACACACACACATATATATCACACACACACATATCACACACACACACACACACACTCACACACACACTCACTCACACACACTCACACACTCACACTCACACACTCACACTCACTCACTCACACTCACTCACACACTCACACACACACTCACACACACTCACACACACTCACTCACACACTCACACACTCACACACTCACTCACTCACTCACTCACTCACTCACTCACTCACTCACTCACTCACTCACTCACACACACTCACACTCACACTCACTCACACTCACTCACACTCACTCACACTCACTCACACTCACTCACACTCACTCACACTCACTCACACTCACACTCACACTCACTCACACTCACACTCACACTCACTCACTCACACTCACTCACACTCACTCACACTCACTCACACTCACTCACTCACACTCACACACACACTCACACTCACTCACTCACACTCACTCACTCACACTCACTCACTCACACACACACTCACTCACTCACACTCACTCACTCACTCACACACTCACACACACTCACTCACTCACTCACACTCACTCACTCACACTCACTCACTCACACTCACTCACACTCACTCACTCACACT